AGTATGGTGAAAGGATACAACCCTGACGAACACCTTTCCTGACTTTAAACCATGCAGTATCCCCTTGTTCTGTTCGAACAACTGCCTCTTGATTTATGTACAGGTTCCTCAGGAACACAGTTAAGTGTTCTGGAATTCCCATTCTTCGCAATACTATCCATAATTTGTTATGATCCACACAGTCGAACGCCTTTGCATAATCAATAAAACACAGGCAAACATCTTTCTGGTATTCTCTGCTTTTAGCCAGGACCCATCTGACATCAGCAATGATATCCCTTGTCCCATGTCCTCTTCTGAATCTGGCTTGAATTTCTGGCAGTTCCCTGTTGATATACTGCTGCAGCCGCTTTTGAATGATCTTCAGCAAAATTTTACTTGCATGTGATATTGTTTAATTTCTGCATTCGGTTGGATCATGAGAGGATAGATTCACCAATTACTAATAGAAGGAAGAAGGAAAATACACACAAGATCCAATAAAGGTTACACTCACATACTCTGAAAGCTGACTAGTAAGTCGGGTCATGGGTGGGCAAATATTTTTTACTTGGCCTAAATTAAGACTTTTACCAACAACAGTGAGTAAGTTAGCCTATGCTAAGGGCAGTCAGAAAAATATACAGTCTTTGGTGGCATGAATGGTTAAGTGCTCAGCTTCTAACTGAAAGGTTGGCAGTTCGAATCTACCCAGGGGTGCCTTGGAATAAAGGCCTGGCAATTTACTTCTGAAATATCACCGCCATTGAAAACCCTATGGAGCACAGTTTTACTCTGAAACATGGGATTACCATGATTTGAAAACTCAAGTACAAAAAGAAATATTGGCTCAAAAACATATTAAAAGAAAAAAAAAGTTATTTGCCTGTACAATTTTTTTAACCTTTCAACCCTTTTCTTCCATACATAGGTAATAATATTGACAAAATTGACTTCCGCTGTGGTAGTCAGCCTCTGAGATGGCACTCAAAGAGTAAGGCTTCTAGTATTCATTCCCTTGTTTAGACCCCTCCCATAGTGAATCAGGCCAGCCCTATGTGAATAATAGAATACAATGGAAGTGATGTTGCATTACTTCTGAGGCTATACCATAAGAGGTCTTGCAGCTTCTACCCCCATCTCTTGGAACACTCACTCTTGGAGCCCTGAGCCGCCCTATATGAAGTGTGACTACCCTTCAAGCCACCATGCTCTGGAGAGACCACATGGAGAGCCCTGGAGATTTCATTTAGAGAGATTCTTGGCCAGACCCTAGCAGTTGGAGTCATCCCTGCTCAGGCTTTACACATAGAATGGAATAGAGTTGCGTAGTCCCCACCAAGCCCTGACTAAATTGCAGATCCATGAGCAAAATAAATAATTGTCGTTGTTTTAAGCCATTATGCTTTGGATAGTTTGTTATGCAGCAACAGATTTCTGAAACACTCTTCTCCTTCCATTTCCTTCACTTGATATGAAGTGTGTCCTTGAGTGAGTGAAGAGTGAGCAATGAAAGTGTCAGGCCAATGCAAGCATAGGGACTTTTCCAGCTGTTATTGCTGAGGCAATTTACTTATTTATGCCATGGAGATATATCACTTCTGGACTGTCTTCTGAGAGGTAACTATGTCACTTTTATGGTCAAGACACAGGGGACCTAGAACCATGTCTGGAGCCTATGGCCAGGTGCAAACTCACAACCAAACATTTTAATGTAGATGAATAAATATTAAATTGAGCATGAAAGGCAGGCAGCCTTCTATAGAAAAGAATTCAAAAAGAGTATAAATAGCTGTTGGGATCAGGCAGAAGGAGCAACCACTTTCTGCCTGGCTCTGCCTGGACTCTGCAGTGTTAGAGCTGCCAACTTGTCACCTTTTCAGGTCCTGCTCTCCACTCGTATTTGTAACATGGAACTCATCCCTGCAGCTACAATAATTAGACCGGGGTGTACACCTGATCGATGAGTAGCCAATCTATTAACGACTGACCAGCAATTTATCCAGGTATCTACCTTGGGAATCTGAACTAAGATATAAAGAGACTGTAGCATGCACTTGGACAGAAAGGCCATGAAGGAATCAGGATGGGATAGCTGTTCTCAACCATGTATATGCTGATGAGTAAGTAGAGAGCTGGTTTGCAGAAAAAGTAGTAATGAGAATTCATGGGGGGAGTGAAAGACAAAGAGAGGAAGAAAAGGAAGAGAGAGAGAGAAAGAAAGAAAAAGCTAACAGTTGCTCTATTCATTGACTTTCCAGTCCCCAGGTTTGTAAATTTCATTTCATTTCATTTAGGCCAGGGGTGGTTGTGGGATGGAAATTAACAGAAAGGAGAACTTTTCTTAACCTTTGTTTAAGGGTCCCTTAAAAGATCACTTTTGGTTATAGGTTTTGTTTTGAGCTTCTCATTAATGAATACCTCAAAACAATGAGAGTTTTAGGGATTGTTTCTCTAAAATTAGTTCTGTTGTGTTGTTTGTTCATTAAGAGGAACAGCATCACTGTGGGAAAGAGCTCCCATAGGCATCAGAAGGTCTAAGCAGATACTTCTTTATCTCAGATGAATCAGCAAGAAACAAATTTAGGGCAGGAGGGAGCACTGGATAATCACAGGCTCTGAGTTTTTCTAGTCCAGGTTCAACCACTCTCAGAAATTAGTCCTTTCACCTCTCTAGACCTCTGTTCCTTCTACTGCACTATTCAATGGTCACAGCTTTAACATTCTGTGAATATAAAATATCTAATCAGGGTCAACTGGACCAATAAGTAACATCATGATAAACGGAGAAAAGACTGAAGTGGTCAAGGATTTCATTTTACTTGGATCCACATTCAACATCCATAGAAGCAGCAGTCAAGAAAGAAATCAAACAACGCATTGCATTGGGCAAATCTGCTGCAAAAGACCTCTTTTAAGTGTTATAAAGCAAAGATGTCACCTTGAAGACTAAGGTGCGCCTGACCCAAGCCATGATGTTTTCAATTGCCTCATATACATAGGAAAGTTGACAATGAATAAGGAAGATTTAAGAAGAATTGACGCCTTTGAACTATGGTGTTGGCGAAGAATATTGAATATATCACGGACTGCCAAAAGAACGAACAAATCTGTCTCGGAAGAAGTACAGCCAGAATGCTCCTTAGAAGCAAGGATGGCAAGACCACATTTCACATACTTTGGACATGTTATCAGGAGGGATCAGTCCCTTGAGAAGGACATCATACTTGGTAAAGTAGAGGGTCAGAGAAAGAAAGGAACACCTTCAGTAAAATGGATTGACACAGTGGCTGCAACAATGGGCTCAAGCATAACAATTGTGAGGATGGCGCAGGACTGGGTAGCGTTTCATTCTGTTGTACATAGGGTCGCTATGAGTCAGAACCAACTCAGTGGCATCTAACAACAACAACAAGGGTCTTGTCAAAAAATGTCCTCATCAAAAACATCTCATTCTGCAGAAGAAAAGTGTGCACTGGACAAAGACCCTGTTGCCTAAGATCTGGAACTTAAATTTGTAGCAATTTCTAATACCTAAGCACATGAAGTTTTCTTCCTGATTGTACAATAAAGGACAGGAAGTGAAAAGGAGAACACTGTCAATGCTCGAGTAAAGTCAGAGGCTCATTTAGGATACACGCTAGATGTGGAAAAGCAAAAAGATAACCAAATTTGAACCTGAACTGATCTGCATGTGATGTGCTACCAAGATGTCAAAATACTGTGTCTCAGAATTAAATCAACAACTTGCCTTTTCTATTACATAAGTATTGTAGTAAAATTTGACCCAAATATAACAAATGCTAAAGTTTGGTATATTTTTTAAAGTATCTTCAGGTAAACCCTATACCATTTGAACAGATCTGATCGTTTATATGGCAATGCTTACATCCTTAACTAGGCTATAAGCTCCATGGGGAGAATGCCTGTACCATAACTCCACCATAACCGCCCCCCCCCCCACACACACAATTTCAGTCATTTTCTTTGGGAAGAGATAGAGGAAAGGTTACAAATGCTTCCTTCACTAGCATGTATGTATTCATTCATGCATTCATTTGACAAACCTTTTTTTGACTGAGCATCTAGTATGGACTTGGCCCAGACCTAGGGAATTCAAAGGCGAATAAGACATGCCCTTTGATTTCAAGAATTCACAGTCTGACAGGGAGAGAATATACATATATTTTACTAAGTGCTTATGCAATTTTAGAGGGGTACCTGACAGTATTAAGAAAGCACAGAAGAGGGGGTGAGGAGGATAGAACGGTTGTTAGGGAGGTTTCCTGAGGGGACAACCCAGGCCAGGAGACATGGAGTAGGGGGGCGGGTGTGGGGGGTATGAAGCCCTGCATTCGTGGTGGAAGAGGTAGGCCTGGCAAAGGTCCAGAGATAAGAAATGGCTTGGACTGTGAGGGGAACTCTTTCTTAAGTGTGGGGTACTAGTCAATAGTGGAACACAAAGCCGTGTTTTTGCCTGGAGAGAACAGAGAAGGGGAGAAAAGGAGTGAGCAATAAGAATTTCATGGTCCTTCCTGTGTCAGCAGGAATTCCTCTTCCCTCACCTCTTGCTTCATAAAACTGAAGTCTAAAGGTCGACTAGGGCTTCCACCCGTACCTAGAACTTGGAAACTGAGAACCAGGGCCAGAAAGAAGTGACCGTCAAGCCCACCTTCCTCCCGGCTAGAGGGCCCCTCGAAGTGCCAAGCAGGCAGTCGGGACCGTAGTCCTAAAGAAAGCGGCGAGGAGAGACAGTGATGGAGGGAAAGAGAGGGAGGGGGTGGAAGGAGAGAGGGGGAAGAAGCAGGCCTGCGGCCGTGCGTGCGCGAGCGTCGCCGGCCGGCCGCTGGGGGCCCGTGGCGGAGCGGCGCGTGGATTGGCGCGTGCGTACGTCGGCCTTTCTTCCTAGGCGGGCTCAGGGCTGCTCGAGTGGCGTTGGTTGGCTCACTAGCGCTAAGCGGCCATTGGCTGCGGTGGGTCGTCAGGGCGATTGAAGGGAAAAGAAGGGGTGTTGGGCCTGGCGAACGAACCGAGGCTGCCGAGAGCTGGGTGGCTCCTTGGGCGGTATCCGGAGAGCAGCGGGTCCGAGGTACCCGGGGTTCACGTCACACTTCAGGAGGTGTCTGAGCTACTGAGCAGGCGAGGAGTGGCGGCCAGCAAGACCCGCGGGCCAGGACCATGGGCTGCTTCTTCTCCAAGAGGCGGAAGGCTGAGAAGGAGTCGCGGCCCCAGGGCGAGGAGGAGGGACCGAAACAGTACAGCTGGGACCAGCGCGAGAAGGTAACGAAAGCCTTGTAGCCCCTGGCCTCGGCCCTCCAGAACCGCCCTGCGAGGGTCCCTTACTGCCCGGGAGGGCTGAAGGGCCTGACCCAACGTTTGCTGCATCTCTCTCTCTCTTGAATGCGTGTAGCTGAAGTCGGGGTCCCTGACTTTTGGGGGGGCATGAAATGCAGCGGTAGAGAGGGCGGCCCGGATAGTTGTGAAGTGAGAAGTGCTGAAAGGGGCCTTACAGCGTTGTCCACGTAGATGGACCCCTAGAGGTTCTCCCTCGGCTTAGCACCTTGACTTGGCGCTGACCGCCGTCCGAGGCTGGACTCAGGGAATAAAGGAGAGCAGAGAATGCCCCGAATCTCAAATCAGCTCATTTCACCGGCTGTGCCGAGAGGGTTTTTTTCCAGTCCTCGAGTTACACATGAGGCTGATTGTCATCTCTTTCCCGGCTCATGTTCTGTGGCTGTTTTCTCTTTTGTCTACCCTCCCTGGTAAATATCTCTGGTGCTTCATGATATATTCCACTACTGACTTTTCTCGGTTACTGAGTGGACTGTAATGTATAGCTTCGTTTTCCCTCTTCTTCCAGTTATCCGAAAAGAAGAATGAAAATCGAATCAGTCTTGGAATGTGTGTTAAGACTGTAAGGTGAAAATGAGCAGCATAAATCAGGCAATATTTTACTATTGCTTTAAATGAATGAAAACACCCTTTAGACTTTTATATATATAGCCAGAAACCTAAAGCTTTGAAAACGTCCACTAGTTCTTCCACAAAACACACTTGGTCATAAATTTCATAATACTTCCTCTTTCTACGTAGTTCTTCATTTGTGCTTAGTAAAATATTTTGATAGACTTATCAGTTATTTTTCTCTTCCAAACAAAATGAGAGATTTTAAAAATAATGAGTGCAGCATTTGATGGCATACGTCTTTACTCAAAAATACTTTATAATAAATTTCTTATTAACATCTTCAGTACTATAGACATTTCTGCATAATTTTCGATCCCCAGCAAAGTTTACTCATGTAAATTCGGTTCTCCGGGTGTCAGATTTGAGAAATTGTAAGCTTTTTGCAGAATTTATTACTCTTCTTGGGTCGAGTGGTATATTTATTCATTCTCTCTTATTCATACTTGATAGCAGCATTTTATGATATAGGAAAGGAAAGTAATGTGCTTTCTGTCACATAAGAAGATAGTTACTTGTTTTGAAACTGTAGGCGACAACTAGATTAAAGTGCTTTTATTTTTTTTATTTAGTCTTAGTTGTTCTCTCATTACTTCATAATAATTGTCTCACAGTTAACCTTTACTAATAATGTTTTGGGTTAATTGCAATCTCTAATGTTATTCCTTTTTTTTTTTAAATAAACGGTTGGGTTATGTCATTTTTTTCTTTTCCTTTCTCGCTAAGTAAACACATTGAAAAATAGAATAGTGGACACCAACATCCAAGCTTTTTCCCCCAAAAAAATGAATGTTTAGTAAACTTTTCAATTAAAGGCATTGTTTCCCACTTAGAGGGAATATTTTTTGGAAACACTACTAGGTACTGTAGTTGTAGAGGTGTAAGGGATGTTACTTAATATGTAAAATAAACTCATGCTTCTGGATATGTGTACAGTAACAGTTAAAATCTTAATCAACTCAACTAATTAAAATGTTTTAACTAAATGAGCATTATAGTCTGAAAACAATCCAGTTTTTACCAACAGTTTACATGTATAAATTCAGTGACACTGTTTACATTCTTCAAGTTGTACATCCATTCTCGCTATCCCTTTCCAAATTATTCTATCACTATTAACATAAACTCATTGTCCCCTAAGCAGAAACTCCCATGAAAGCAATCCAGTTTTAAAGTATTTTGAACTGTTAGAGAAAGGGAATTACCAGCTTATATTTTGAGACAATGGAGATACCACATTTCCCAACATTGCTTTTTTTTTTCGTAATTACTAGGGATTCACTCTGTTGTTGTTGTTGTTAGTTGCTGTCAGTCAGTTCTGACTCATGGCAACCCCACGGGTGCAGAGTAGAACTGATCTTTAGGGTTTTCAAGGCTATGACCTTTCTGAAGCAGATCGCCAGACCTCTCTTCCAAGACACTTCTGGATGTGTTCAAACCGCCAACCTTCCAGCTTGTAGTCAAGCGCTTAACTGTTTGCACCACCCAAGGACTCCTAGGGATTCACTCTAGGGTGCCTCATCTAGGATAGCCTGTTAAATTTTTATTGATTAAATTTTTTTTCTAGTTCCTTACCTCCCATAAGGCTGAATTGAACTAGTGTACAAATATCTGTATTAGGTCAATGATACTTTTTCTGATTTAGCATTGTCTTGTTTTCTCCTAGAAGATTTTAATTGTACCTTAAAGGAATAGAATGCAAATACAGCCTAGAGAACATAAATAAATATGTTACATGTATATTAACAGAAATCATTTGTTTTAAAGCTTTAGGCTTCTGTAATGTGGTCACGGAGTATATACCGTTTTAAAGTTATATACGATAATTAACCATTCAACTTGTAAGACTTTAGATGTAAAAACAAAATGCATTGCCTGAAAAAATTCCTTGCAGCTTGGAAAAGTAGTGTTTAAAGTTTTCCTTAGGTTGTATAATCAGTGTATCTTTATTGAGGGGCACCCCCTGGGTTTTGGGTTTTGAATTGTGTAGTTGGGTCAGTCTTAGGGGACTGAAGCTAGGAGAAATTGTCTCAATTAGAAAGAATGTTTGGATACTAAGTGTTGTCATGGCAACTGACATACTGTAATCAACAGCGTGTGAAGCTCAGTTTCTATTGCTGCTGACTTTGAAAAAAATAAGCTTACTGTACAGTTATTACATTGATATGATGAGAAATATTATTGGATTGTAAGATCTGTGTTTAAATCATTTGGAAGTATATGCATATGCTCTTATCCTTGTTAATAAGTATGCTGCTTTTTATACTAAACCTAAACCCACTGCTGCCGAGTCGATTCATCTTTCTCTAGAGCGGCTGGTGGGTTTGAACCTCCAACCTTTTGGTTAGCAATCAAGTGCTTTAACCACTGTGCCACCAGGGGTCCTTTGCCTCCTATAACTAGGCAAATTATTCAGTATATTTGTACAGTATACAACACCAAGGAAGACTCAGAATTATAAGAATTATCCCTGCCCTCGAAGAGCTTGCTGGCTTTTTGGAATTAAAACATACAAAACATTTGAGTACAAACAAGGTTAGGATGAGTGGTACGGAAAAGCAGTTTTCATTTTCCAGTTATTCATACCAATACTTCTCCCTCCTAGATGAGGGAAATGAGGATTAGTTCTCTAAATAATGTTTGCATAAGTATGAAACTTGTCATTAGAATACCTATATATAGCACATCTTGCATCTACATTTGTCTCATATTTGATAGAAATAATACTAAACAAAAAGCCTTATACCAGAAATGCAAATAACTGCATTTTATTCAGTGTATTTTCTGTTGTGTAACTTTGGGTAAAGCAGCCAATTTGCACGTTTCAAGTTCCTTGGCTATAAAATAGGACAGTGCTAAAGATTACTTATGTTGTTTAATAATGTAAAGACCTATCCTGAGAAAGAGGGGTTAGACAGTATAATGGTTACCTCAGAGGATAGAACTAGGACCAGAAGTTGGGCAGGACAGAACTGGTCTTAATATAAGGCAGATCATCATTTTCAGAGGCGTTCCTCCGTGGAAGGGGTGACTTTGTGAGGAGCTGATCTCATACTAGTCGAAACATTCAGACAGAGGTTAGAAAAAAGTGTTAGAAAAAAATGTCTGCATTGCGTGGAAGGCTAGATGCTATTTTTAACTAGATGCTATTTTAGTATGTAAGGTGTTCTGTTTATCTATTGTTGCATACTAAACCACCCCAAAACTTAATAGTTTAAAACGGCAGCAAGTATTTCTTTTGCTCACAACTCTGCAATTTGTGTGAGGCTTAGCAGGCTTAGCTTTCTGCTGCATGTGGCATCAGCTGTGGCAGCTTGACTGGAGGCTAAAGGATCTGCTTCCAAGGTGGCTTAATCACATAGCTGGCTGGCAAGTTGATGCTGGCTTTAAGCTGGGAGCTCAGCTGGCGCTGAGAACCAGGGGCCTCTCCTTGTAGCTTGGACTTCCTCACAGCATGATGGCTGGGTTCCAGGGGCAAGCACCCTAAGAGAGACTGGTAGAAGATGCATGACTTTTTCTAACTAGTCTCTTAAGTGACACAGCATCATTTCTGCCACATTCTGTTCATTGAGGCAGTCACAAAGGCCCACCCAGATTCAAGGGGAGGGGACACAGCCTGCTTCTTGATGGGAAGAAGGAGTGTCAAAGAATTTGTGGACATATTTTAAAACTTCCATATAAAGTTTTTTTCTTTTTTAAGGAGATAATTAGTTCTTTTTTAAAACAGCTTGATTGACATATAATTCATATACCATACAGTTCACCCATTTGAAGTATACAATTCAATATTTTTAGTGAGTTTACAGGGTTGTGCAGCCATCACCACAGTCTAATTTTAGAACATTTTCATTCCCTCCAAAAGAAACCCTATACCTGTTAGCAATCACTCCCCATTTCCCCCTCTCTCCAGCCCCTGGAAACCTCAAATTTACTTTCTGTCTCTATAGATTTGCCTATTCTGGACATTTCATATAAATTGAATCATACAATATATGGTGTTTTGTGTCTGACTTATTTCACTTAGCATGTTGTCAAGGTTCATCCATGTAGCATGTATCAGTACTTCATTTCTCTTTATGCCTGAGTAGTATCCCATTATGTGGATATACCACATGTTTTTAATCCATTCATCAGTTGACAGGCATTTGGGGTGTTTCCACTTTTTGGCTATTGTGAATAATAGCCAATGCTATAAGCATTCACGTACAACTTTTTATGTGGATGTATGTTTTCATTTCTCTTGGGCATATACCTAGGAGTGGAATTGCTGAATCATATGTTTAACTTTTTCAGTGAACTGTTAAACTGTTTTCCAA